TTTTTGATCGCTCGCTGACCAAATGCAAATTTTCGTTTATTGCATTGTTCGGATTGGCATCTAAACACGAAAAATATGGGGGTTCCATGATACTGGACAGCATTTCACAATCCTCCTGATCTCTTGAAGTATTTTTGCAAGGGGAATCCGACCTGCATCGCGTTCCTTGATGCGACTTGATCCTAATGAATGTTTTGCGATTGTAGGCATGCTTGCAATGAATTTCTTATTTGGATTAATTTCTCTTACGTTCAGCATTTCTATCTAATATACCTCTAACTCTGAAAATATTCTTTATTATTGGAGCACCTGAATTTTGATACCTTGGTTTCTCGAAAATATTGTCACTGCTATCTTCTCTTTCATCAACGCTGTACATAATGCTTTGACATTTGACAATCAAAATGCATTGTTCATAGTGGGAGGATAACGAGAAAATTTGTCAGCTCCCAAAAAAAATTGATGTAAATTAGTTGGGATCAAGGGATTCAAGCACACGATAGAGAGGTGATTAACACATTCATCTTCAACAATATCCTACGAGATTTCTTCTAGTTAAGATGAGACGACGCGACACAACTAATTTGGACACGGACACGAGGAGGAAGAATCATGAATGGCGCGCGCGTTACGGAGAGGTGGGCCATCCGGAGTTGGCCCTCCAAGGGGAACATCGGCCATATGGGGGCCGAGGAACGGTTTCGTGCAGCAACTTGCTGCAAGTACTGGCGATTCTCAGTTTCATGCCGAGGCGAGAAGAGCTGGTTCGGTGGGTGAAGAGCAATTGGCCGCTCTCAACACGCACACTGCCCCCACGGATGGGGGTACATGCCGCAGGTGTGTATAGAGTAGAGTAATTCCTTAAAGTTATACATACAACAATTACAACAAATACAGGAACACAATAAGGACTATAGTGATTATTCATGAATGTCAGGAATGAATATTGTGGGTATGAAGAGAGGAGCTTTTTTGGTTCCTCGATGCTTTTGTGAAACAAAAGATAAAGCGAATAACTTGGAATGNGATAAAGGATTACTAATGATGATGACAAATTTGTGGTCTAGCTTATCGAATTCGTCCAGTAGCATCGATAATATTGCGCTATTTCAGTGAGAGCGGCACGAGCAGGGAAACCGCATCCCCTGCTCGTCGAGGCGGTTTGCCGGATGAGTGGAATCCAGCTACTGGTCCACCTACCTGGCACGGGTGGCCAGTGCTGGCATTTCGGTGTATCCGGCCCAATCCACCAAGTTCTGCGCGAAACTATTGGCCGGTACACCGCCCTGATACGTCCTACTCCGCGTCAAGTGAGATCTTCTGAATAACTCAGACAACTTTCTGATCAATCGTAGAACTGATGAATCCTTTTTTTCTAATCGTGTTGCGTTTGGAATAGGAAATATTTCCTTATTTCGAATATGAACGGTCGCTCGAAAATAATCATTCAAATGATCGAAAAAAAGGTTTTTCTTGAATAAACTCAAGAATTAACGTTGAACGATTGAAAAAGAACAAACAAAATGAACATTTCAATATCACGTCAAAATTTGACCACTGTAATAATCGAATTTGATTTTGTTTCAGTACGTCGACACGGACGAATGTATAGCGGAAATGGAACGATATGCGTTCGAACCTCCGCTCGACGTAAGTGAAATGCGATATTATTTCGAAGAATTTGAACATTCTAATGATCATTCTCGATATCTTATATGACTTTTGATGTTGTTAATTAATATGGTGCCATATCTTGACTTGCGACTTATTGGCTTATTAGACGATGGGAAATTTGATGATAACAATTTTAAAAACCTTATTCACTGTATTGAAACGCTCCGTATGAATAATTTTTGGTGACAGTGAGCTAACTATGGAATAGTTTTTAGCGAGGAATAAATGTGATAACTATATAATAGTTTTAGCAAGGAGAAATCGTTTACTTGCATAAATTTTTCGACTCTGTTGCATATATTTTGCGACTCCAAAATGATTGATAGATTATCCCAACTGAAGAGGTAATCATTCCAGGTATTGCGCGGAGAGGACGATGGGCACTCATCCGGCGATGAGATGGAAGCCGAACCAGCTCCCCCAGAGCCCGAGGACTTTTTTGACCCTAACCCCGACTTTAACGAATTTAACCCCTTCCCCTTCCCCCTACCTCACCAAGACCCCGAACCCCAACCTGACCCCGAATTACCCCCAACTAACGACGACCCCGTCCCTGATGACGAAAGCGGGGCTGCGCAGCCCCACCACTACTGGCTGTAAGTATCTTAACCTATTTGGATTATTCATCTAACATTAATTTTTTAGCATTTCGCATTCTTTATTCTATGAACGTTCTAACAGTCACTGCTTAGTAATTAAGTAATCAAAATCGTTAGTTTTCTAACAAGAAGATACTTGAAAATTTGATCGTTTCTCGAGCGCGAAAAATGATTTATGAGCAGTTAGTGGAAAATATGAAAATGCAGTCGAAAACTGCAAGAAAACCACAGTGAATAGAATTGTAAAAATGGAAACAATATTCAATGTGAACATCCTTTTCATTCGGATGACTAATCAAGCAATAGTGTGATTAATTATCAAAGCCATTGGATCGTTTTAAGCATTAATAATATTCAGGCGCAGACCCCGTTCACCAAGGCAGCCACGAAGACGGGAGCAACAAAGGCCGCAGCCGTTCCGGCCTCATAACATCGAGAGCATGAGGCCGGAACACCAAGCCGAGCTTTCGGCACCATCAACAGACGCATACCAAGTATGCGAAAACAACTTAATATGTAAGCTAATTTTGAATGTCGCGATTCATTATCATTGATTTATCATTATTACCATTACTATTACCATCGTAAGCGATTTGAAAAACAACTAGGCATTTACTGTCACTGATCATCATCAGAAGCAATATTCTGATACAATTGATTGCATCAGTTCATAAGATTTTGACTGACTACGCTATCGTAATTCGTTCGCTTATTCATTTTGTAAGCGAATATTCAATCGTTTCTCTTCAGATTTCTTAAAGACACCAAATTTACTAGCGTTATTCACTTACAATCCATGTTTCAGGGTGCCGATTGCCCGGTTGTGCCAGGTCCTCAGCCCCATTCAAAACCGTGAGGGCCTGGAAAATCCACGTGCGGAGGGCCGCATGTCATCAACAAGAAAGTACGTTATCACTTCACCTGGTTACTTTTAAACTTGACGATGATTCAAAATTAATTCAATATGTGATTTTGCTTATTTGAATGGAATATCAGCGAAGAGTTTATAATATTCCTAGGAATTCCTAGGACATAACTGATTAATTGAATGATTGACTCTCATGAAATTGTTGATGTTTGCAGAAGTATGAATGATATTGGAATGATTCTTTTGTGCTCGATGCTAATGGAAAAATTTGAAAGTTGAACTGATATGAATTTCAGCCCTCTGCACGTGGTGCGGCCACGTCATTGCGATGCCCTCGGAGCACCTCTCGGAGGACGCAATCAAGGTGGTTATGGACTCGCACCGAACCGAGAGGTGCATCGGTGCCTCCAAGCGGACGATGGAGGCACGAAAAACCGCCGCCGCGCGCCTCGTGATCCTGGGCCGCGACAACTCACACATCGCGGTGCCAGAGGAGGGCGCAGATGAGGTGATGGTGTCTAACCCCCGCAAAAGGCACCTCACCTCGGAGGCGGCGAGGAGGGCCGACCAATGTTGCTCCTTCCTGAAGCGATTCAAGGAGGACAACCCCGATCTAATGGAACAGATCGGGGCTGAATACCAGCTCCACTTCGACTAGTGGGAACGTGTGAGAAGGGCGACAACGACAACAACTTCAACAACAATGCAGCAGTCAATTCAACAGCGGATCAATCAACCCCAAAACTTCATCCAGCAATAAAAACGGTTACATTCCTGCATGATTTTACATTTCAACAATAGAGCACACCTCACTAATTGTGAGATTGTAATTCAACTTAGTCTGCGAATAAATCATAATGTGCTCAAGAATTCGGGCTTTTTAGAAATTGACTAATAATTTGCCAAGCGAGCACATTAAGTGTAGGAGTAGGAATAGAGTACCATGAACATAGGTGCTATTGATAAATGTCTTTTACATGTGTTATGTAAAAGACACATTGTGCTATTTGCTATTGTTATTGAAAATTTGTTCCAATGTTGTAATTTTATGATCGCCCGAATAACGTGGATCACCGTTATGAGAAAATAAACCAAAAAGTTTTGGATACGATGAAATCAATGGTAATGTCTTCTTACTTTTGACTTAGGCAGTAATATCTGCCAGAGAAGTAAGAAATTGGGAACGAAATGAAGATTGGACATTTTAAATTTCAATTTCCTTTTATCTCGGGTGAATGAAAACGGGTGAAAAGAATTAATGTAGCGGGCGATCATATTTTGTTATATTCCATTGAATATGTCCTGTAATTGTTTTAAATGAATGCAAAGAAATTGTGCGATTGCAATCAATTTGTTTGCATCGCAAATTGTCTTAACACTGTTGTCGCCATTATCCACCGCAACGAATAATAATCAACGACTCAACGCAATTTTCTCGGCTCTCCTCAACCAGCTCACCAACCATATTTTGGGCATGGCAATTGGCTTGAATATTGCGAAGTTTTGGAGCGACAATCCCCAAAATCCAGTCGCTGAGCAGACGCACAACAGCCCATTCACCCTTCTGCGGGCCGGTTTCAATGTATGATCCACAATGATGAAAGTGGATGAATAAAATGCCCTCACAACACCTTAATATTAATTCAAGAATTTATGGGCATTCCTCATTTATGGGCATTTATGGGCATGCTGAAAAGGAGTCATTTGGCAGTCATGCCAGCTCCTTAGCACCGATAATGGTGCATCTTGTTATTAATGGTTTACCTTCAACCAACTGATGTCAACCACTGTTCCTGTGGTATCGAAGCGGGCTCGGGTACTGGATTGGAAAAGTACTTGGGGCAGGGTTTGCAAGTACTTGGGGTTCAGGGAACGGGTAAAACGCCTGCCTTCATTGACGCCTCATCGAGCGAGGCAATTTGGTTAATTTATCAGTTCGGCATGGCAACCACTCGAAACCGGCTTCAATCCACCAATGTCCACTGCAAATATTATTTGTAATTCAATTCTCCATTACTCATGAGGCGATTCAACCGGAAGGATTTTCGAACACCATTCTCATATCACGACGAGCCGAGAAACTCGAATGACTAAATCAGAAGATCAGCATTCAACCTCAATCGTACTTCAGCCGTTCAATGGAAGCGGAGCGACAACAGTGAAGCAACGATAAAATTTAAAAATAAAAAATAAAAGCATAAATCAAAAAATAAAAATGAAGAAATAAAAATAAAAATAAAAAAAACATAAAACAAGAAAAACAAAAAATAAAAAAACAAAATAAAAATCAATTGAAAAATAAAAAATAAAAAAATATAAAATAAAAAAATAACAAAAAAATTTATGCATAACTTAAACATTTGTTTTATATTCGTGTCTTTTGTATTCATGTCCTCAGGCATGAAATGTTTTATATTCATGTCTTTATACATGTAATGTTTTATATCCACGTTTTATATATCCTTGTCTTCATACATCCAATGTATTATATCCACGTTTTATACATCCATGTCTTCATACATCCAATGTTTTATATTCACGTTTTATGTATCCCTGTCTTCATACATCAAATGTTTTATATTCATGTTTTATATATCCCTGTCTTCATACATCTAATGTTTTATA